AAAAGTAGACTAAATTTCTTCATTTAGAGAATAAAACATTTTTTTCTTTCTGTTCTCTGCTTTTGTTCACCAACAGACATGTTTTTGCTATGGACGGGGAGGGTAGGATTGTAATACAAGGGTCAAATATTTTCGACCTACTTAGGCGTGTGCCATTGACACTTTTCGCCGTGGAAGACTTTAAAAAGATAAAATAAACTATCTGGCACCACAAAAAAGTTGAATTTTTATCAGAAGGGTATAAAAATTTTGAGTTTTTGCGAGTGTATATCGCGTGCGGTAGCTCCACCCCTGTGTTTTTGGAACTTCTTTGTGGCTCCGACTGCGGTCTCGTGATAGGCCATTCACCGTGTTTTGCCAAAATGGCGCCCCGAGGTCATTCGATAGCAGTGCAAACAAAAGCGAAACAGGATTTATCTTATTCTTGTTGACTCACAGGTCTACCTAAAGTATGACGAAAATGAAAGATGCTTCTCGTGATAAGCTGGATCGAAAGTGTCAGAGCACACAAGCATAAAGACAGCTAATTGGAGGTAAAAACTGTGTACTTTTCCTAGGGGTGCGCGCCTGGACTTCTCTTTCCACCGTGTGGCGCGGATATTGAAGTTTCTAAGTTTCAAGCACTTCAGCGAGGAACGCAAATGTGTTCTGCGCATAAATATTAGATCAGTAGTAGACAAAGCTGTAGTATTTGTGCTTTCGGCTTCTCTTTCAAGGCCGTGCGTTGTGCCCTGAGGTCAATTACCCATTCTTCGGAAGGCGCCAGGTATACTGTGCATAAAATTTACTCGCCCATATTTTCCACCGACCATGGCGGCACACGTGCGGAGGAAATTACTTCGTAATTGTCAGTGCAGCCAGTTCCTCTTTACTGTCGCATACCTTGAGGGAAGAAGAAAGATGTCTTCTTCGATTGTGAGAAAAAGTTGGTGCTTTAAAATACCTCCGTGCCGTCAAAGCGACGGCGAAGCGATGCGCTAAATATTGATTGTTTGTGATTTATCGTTCGTTGAATGAGAAAAATCACACGAACAGTGGACGCGTTTAATTGGTTCAATGTTTTGCCGTGAAATGATGCATAAACACTTTGAACCTCGAACTGTAGTTGTTTTAGCGATTCACCGCTAATGAGTTACAAATTTTATTTACACAGAATTTTGCGTCTAAGTGTACGAAAATTGAGTAAAATTGTCATGTAAATGGAAAATCCGACGAAATCGCCACTAATTCCGCACAGACGATTTGACGAGATAACTCGAGTGAAAAAGTCGCCACTGGGCAATTTGCGAGTTTAATTTACTTTTCGAGATCTGTACTTGACCCCGTTAGCTATTTCGTGTTGGTACTGTGGTTTTTCTAAGCTCTTTTTTGCGGCCAGAATTGTTCACATGCAGACGATCTTAAGCGTCAATAATCTACGTGACAATTTGTAACAGTTGAAATATTGGTTGATGGATTACTAGAGAGTTTGTAGATTTAAGCTATCACGAAACAGCCTTCCTGTCTAAGATCTAGAGACAGTCAGTCTTGACTATGCGATTTTGCGTATGCCCTTAAGAAATTTTCCAACCGCTCTAATTTGGCGTGCCTCGTCGCGTATCAATGTTGCCATGTCGAGCGAGCTACGTGCAAAAATAGGATATTAGAAGAGCAAGCTATGGGCAATATTTATAATACGTATATGTCCTTTGTGTGTATTTGATGTAGACATCATTAAGGGCAATTTTTTCGTGGTAACACCATAACTCTGGCATCGAAACGGAAGTTCAAGAATGACAAGTGACTGTTAATTGAAAGCGAATCACGCTTTCAAGCAAGTTATGTTTCTGTTGTTTCGTGATCGTAATTTATTTATGAAGCTGCGAGAAGTCATAAATACCTACACGAAAACAGACTTTTTCGATAGCTAGTTACCGATGTCTTTTATGCATTACTTTCTGTTTGGAATTTTGAGATATTTTAAGAAGTTGTTGTTATTTTTAGTGCCTTGCTTTAAGACACCCTAGAAAGGGCACTTGTCGAAAATGAAATTTTCCAAAGCAGAAGACTTCAAGGGTCACTCTTGAAATGCAGTCTTTACGTTAACTTAACTTTTTGTGATCTCTATAAGCCAGTTTGCCTTATTTACAAAACCAGTCTTCAAGTTGAAAACTTTTTGTTTAGAATGATTTTGCCGTAAAAAGTAGTTATTGATTATGGTGCCAACCTGTCCCTAGCTACTACCAGGTTGACTGCTGAGAAGATGATATCAAAATCGACTAGCAGACTGACTGAAACCAAGTTTTAGAACCAATTTCAAAGTACATTAGTCTTAGCAATCTGTGAAAATCTCAGTTTGACTCACTGCAATGTGGTCTTTCATCAGTAACACAGAATTAAGAAATTCTCAAAAATTGGTAATTTTCCAGACCTTTGTCTTTCTATTATCTTTTATTGTGAAGGAAAATAATAGATTTCCAAAATTTTAAAATCATATTTGAGGAATTGCAGTGTTTTTCCTTTGTTTGCAAATGGAATTAGACATGTGTCCACTGAATTTGTTAATTTTCTAAAGTTACTTGTTTCTCCTTCAAATATGGAAATGCTCCCTCTCTTAAAACGCTGAGTAATTTTAACTGTGCTCTTTAAGCTGATGTTGTGATTGAACAACTCAGCACTTGCTATAAACAAACCCATTTAGTACTTAAAAATATGATGAACTGTCTAGAATTCTCAAGAGAAGTTCTTGGGGCAAATTGTGTTTTAGTGTATTTTTTGGTGCAAATGTGTTACCCCTGGAGGTATTGTGGAAGGTTATCATGGAGTTGGTCACGAACAGTGAATTGTTCTTGTCATGCTGACGACAACAACTCTCAAGTTTTTTTTTGTATTAATGAAGCCTTAGGGGGTGAAAACCCAATTAGGCATTACAGAAAACTGAATTTTTACATGAAAAATTCTTGTGGCACAAATGATGATGAAAGATTTTCATTGTGGCCAAAATGAGTAGGCTGAAGGTTCCTGGAAGTAAATGATGCTTCAATTTTAATTTTTGGTAAAGCTGTGGGGTAAAATTTCCTCGACAGCTTCTCAGTAAAGTCTAAGATTATTACTAATAGGACCAACTGAAGAGTGAAAAGATCTGTCATGAATTCTGGATTATGTGGATCTTAAAGAATTGCACCATTCATTTCATGGAAGAGGTTAGGAACACTGTTAGCATTTACAAGCAAATTGTTAGGGCTGAATATGTAAGAGTAGTCAAGAATTAAATATTTAGTGACAGGAACTTATAAATGTTTATCAAAAGGCTTAGTTGTTGTGATTGGTGCAGACGAACAATTTAAAATTATTCCATAACACACCTTAAATATTCTTGCATACATTTTTATTATGTTGCATTAAAAGTTACATGACCCTATCACTCCTAAGATCTGAATAGTAATTCTCCTTACCATTCACCATATATTTCATGTAATTTTAGTTCTAAGAATTTGGTGTTGAATCAAATGAGAATTTCATTTATCCCTTTATTTGTCACATGAAACACTTTTGTTCCTGAAAGAAGAAATCTAAGCTGTTGAACTTTTGCTCTGACAAAGGGCTAATGCTCAAAACGTCAGCTTTTGAACTCGTTATGGTGGCCAATTTCTGTTATCAACCCCATCAATAAGAGCTGATAGCTGCCAAAAACCATCCAACAGTCTGCCATCTGAAGCCACCTACTTGCACCTCATTTTACCATAAGTTCTGATGCAAAATTGTACAATATTTGAATTTATTCAGAATAGACTTAAAGGTTGATGTTAACTTTGGTAACATTAGGCACATTAGAACTTTTAACTATTAAAATAGTTTCCAGTCTTGTGTGTAATCTGACAAAACAACATGCAGATCCTTGATAACTTGGCAGTGTACTATTACTTATTTTTCTTCTACAGTTAAACTTGTTGACAGCCTTGTACGGCCCCACTGAATATGAATATTATGCTTTATTGATTTTCCATTAAACTTCATTGATCTACCTTCACAGTGTCACTTATTGCAATGTCTCTCTTAGCATTTTGACAATTTTTCGAATGGAATAGAAGATAGGACCATGATCCCAAAAAAAAAAAAAAAATTACTCACAATCAAATTGGAGTCAAGGTGTATTTTTTTAATGTATAAATTAGAAATGTGGCACCTATTCTGGGTATATGGGCTATCAACAATTATTATTTAAAGCACATTTTGCAAATAGAAATCAACTTACCTTTTGTGGGTTTGAGGTGACAGATGTTTCAAAGCCTTGTTGAGTCTAACGTGTATTGTTCTGAGTCCACCTGCTCTTAACAGAATAATAATTTTCCATCAAAGTTTATGATGATGCTTGCCTGATGTGTCTTTTAGTTTCCGAGTTATGAATTTAATTGGATCTACAGGTTCAACCTTACTGGTAACATTTGAAAACAACTCTTTCAATTCTAGATATTTAAATATTTTGAAATCATCTGCAAAATTTTGTGAAACCAAAACTAAAAACATTTTTTAGCATACATACTTTTTAAATATTAAGTTGTGTGTACTGAAGTAAGATTACTTTAATTATTTCACTTGAATAAATATTTGGCACATTTTGAAGAATCAAAATAACTTGCCTTTCAGAAAAGCATAAAGCCTTTCACTTAATCACCAGGGTATTACTGCTGTATGTATCATTTTCTCCACAATGAGTGATTCATCTTAAATAGTTCCAAACCTTAGTATCTAGATATTACGTTTTTACATCCTTTTTAAATTCTCCCAGGCCATGGTGTCTTCATCTTGAAAGGACTGGGCACTAACTTTTCAGATCAAAGACAGCATATGATGTTTACATGATACACTATACTGCAGTCCCTTGATAAATAGAAAAAGTGAAGAATGAGCTGTTTTTTGTGGATTTAGATAATGATTGGTGCTATTCATGGGGACATCAGACCTCAGGTTTGTTGATTTAGATTTACTGAGTGCTTAAATGCATTAAAGTACAGTGTAACATGTGTTATTCTCAGTGTTTACCTAGACAGAACCTTCCACATTTGATCTTCAACATTGTTGTAAACTTCTTTTTTTTTCCCAAACATCTAGATGTCGATTTGCTCCATTCTCTATGATAAATTTATTATAATTTCTTCCCTGAGAATTTGATGTTAAATTAAAAAATATTTCCTGGTTGAAATTAACCTTCTTGCCATGAAGTTTCTGCTTGAAGTTGTCATCATATTTTAATGAGATATTTCTTTTAGTCATACCTGTGGGGTGAAAGTTTTAAGTAAAACTGTGTTTAGCTTTATCCAACTTGAAGTTCTAAGATTCACAATTTTTTAAGAGGAAGACTTAACAGAGGATTAACAGCTCTCAAAATTTGTTATAATGGTCTGATTTTTCAGGAGGTGATAAACTCTGCTTGCCGTCGACTATTGAAAAGAAAAAGACCAAGCTCAGGAAAATGGTAAGATGATAATCTTTAATTTAAAAATTAGTTTTACCCTGTCTTTGATTGAGTAAGTAAGTAAGTAAGTAAGTAAAAACCTTTATTTCAGTGGCATGTGGATAAAGCCTAGTGGCTTGTGGGGTCGTAGAACGATGAGTAACTCAATCCTATATTTATTATAAAGAGATAAGTTCCTAAAGAAGCTGATGTTTGGCACATTAGAGTTAAAAAATGATCTTTGATACATAGTAGAGCAGTGAATATGAGTAAGCATATGCAACCATCAGTGCCATTTTTTTGGCTTTATCAGTTAGTTGGACTTTTTGTTTGGACATGTGACCATGTTTTGCTTTTATCTGCTAGAATGGTTTAAGATCTTACCCAAAGTTTTCTTTCCTTCTGATGTTTGGCAAAGAAGCCTTGTTCCATTTTTTACTGAATTGCTCAGCCATCAGAGTCTACAAGTCAGGAATGGTGTTTGACTTTTTTTTTTCAACTGTCAAAAACTGTGTAAAGTCAGCTAGCTTAACACCCAAGCACCAACCAGGGGGGGCATAAAGTAAAGACTGAAATAATTTACAATCAGGCAATTGAGCAGAAATCAGGGCTACAATTTTTAGCCAATTTACAATCTTTGGTATCTAGGCATCTGGACATCCACTGAATCTTTAACAAAAATCTACAGTTGGTTGATTGGATGTGTTGCCATTGTAGCAGGAGAGGTTAAACTGATGTATTCAAGGTTCTTAGGTGACTTTCAGCTGTGATACTTATAAGTGAAAGATCTTAGGGTGTTAGAGAAATTATTGATTTTGGAAAATGTTCTCTTGCTTTTTAGGCAGTCTTTAGAGGAACGTCTTCTGGACTGTTACATAGAATCATGTGAAGGGGCCCCAAAAGACAAGGTTAGAGATACATTTGTTGTCATAACTTTTGAAAATATCTTCCTTTCCTTGTTTTTAATGACTGCAAGAAAGAAGGGAGAGGGATGTTTCAAGAAAATTTCGTCCTTTACACCCTAATATCAGTATGCATATTCTCCATACTGTTCCCAATACATTTCCTGAGGCACTGAAGAGGAGAATTTGTTTAAGAATCCAAAGCTTCTCTAGTTGGTGACCATTTCCTTTATTCTCATGACCATGATGTGAGACTTAATGGTAATGTTGTAAGGAAAAATTAGATGCTAGTCACTCTTAGATGTGAAAGGGTTAATTAAGGGTCATCGTCTTCACAGTTGTTGAAACATTTCCTTCTATCTCCCC